AGCATTGCACACTGCCACCTAGTGTTCAATGTCTCTTTTGCCTCAGCTGCACAATGAACAGTTTCAGGAACGTGGGAATGCTGTATTTTAAAGGAAAATTTTCATCAAAACAGGTTTGAGACATATTTATTCACAAGAATTTCAAGAGAAGACTATAGGGAGTACATGAAATTACACATAATACAAAAATCGCATCTGTCTCATAAAGATCTGCTTAGATTAGTAAGTATACAAGTCCCAGATTTTGTTAATAATAAAGAGAAACAATTTAAAGGTAATTTTTTATACTGTTTATCAACCATGCAAAGTATTATGAGTATGGTTTGTGCTGATCTGAATGGAATAGTGGTTATCTCACTACTGTGGCACTCGAAGATGTTCAAACAGGCATCATAGGATATTAAATAACCACTAAGGATAGTGTAAAGGTCTCTTGAACACAGCTAAAATCTCTGCTCCATACAGGTTATAACTTCAATTCAAAATGCCACTGGTTCTTGGTTCTATTTTATTTTCCCCACAATGAATAATTTTTGTGTTTTGGTTGAGCTCATCTCTGATCATTGTCTAAGAAAAGCAAAGGCCCATGAAAATGAAATGAGAACCATTTTCAAAGTATTAAGAAAAGTTTGTGGTGGATGACTTGGTGATGGTCGGGGGGCCACATTTTATTTGACTCACTATATTCTAAAATGGTAGTCTTGAGTCTGATCTACTTCATGCATTGTACCCAACAACTAAAGTGATGGGTGGAAGACTCACTTCTGTTATGTTTTTCAAAGTGAAAAATACTAAGTGGATTCCCTTTAAATCATAGTTACTTTTTAAAAACTCTCTCCTTTTTGAGAAACATAAAAATCTTAGGTTCTGTTTTAACAGTATTTAAAATTTATAAATAAATGATACACCATACATAGCTGACACATGAAAAAAAATAAGAATTATACTTTTATTTTTAACTTGGAAGGTGCTTTTCATTAGAGTTGTCATTCCAATCATTCAGGATCAGCATGCCAATTAAAGCTGCTTGTATATCACACAGACTTTTCTATCCTTGGAAACATTGGAGAAAAACATTGGGTAACTTCACTAGTAGGCCTGTTGTATTGCTTTGTTTGCATAAGCAGAAGAACAGGTAAAATAGATAGATGGCTAGATGAATAGATGAAAAAATGGAAGGATTGTTGAACAGATAGAACTCCCTTGAACTGAAATATTTCTATCCCCTGTTAAAATCATTAATTAATTCCCAAAGGAAATTCCAATCAAAGCCACATGATTTAGAAAACTTCTCAAGATTTAATCAGCTTTCCCACCTTACTGTTTCACTTAGATCTGCAGGAGGCTATTTTAAGGTCCCAATACACAATGGGCAAACCTACTTGGAATGGTTGACTAAACGATTGCAACTCAAGATATTGCAACTGAAGAAACTCAGTTTGTAAACATATACTGTCTTGTGTTGTGATGACATCTATCATGATAACAAATGTTCAGTAAAATTTTGAAGTTAATTGACCAAAAAAATACTAAAATTATAGCTCTTTGATATTCCATTGGCCTTATGTATATCATCTCCAAGAATATTTCAGAATTGAAGATAGTTGATACAACTGTGCCTTAAGGAGAGTCCTGCTTCAGTTGCAAATGTATATAAATTATGGTTATAATACCTAAAACTTTATAAACATTATTTATTGGTACTGGTGATCAAACTCAGGGCCTCAAGCAAGCTAAGCAAGCACTGAGCCACATCCCAACCCCTTCATAAGCACTTTTTAAAATGCATTTATTAATTTACGTAGGACTGCAAAGCATAAAAAAGATTGAAGTAACATGACTTGATTCAAATGACAATTGTGTTTGAGACTCTAAAAGTTCCCTTAATTTTTCCCCACCTATCTTAATGCCATTTCTACACACACACACACACACACACACACACACGGCATCTAAAGTTTTAGAATCACAGACTATAGAATTTTCACTGGAAATTAAATCACAGCATCACCATTTGGATTTATCTATAAATAAATGTTTAAGATGAGATTATTTGCCTAATAGCATCATTTCTTAAGCCTGAGTATTAAAGTATATATGATTATGAGCATATCCTAAGAAACTCTCTGATCAGGGATTTCTAATCCAACATTCAAAAAAAAGCAGTAACAACATGGCCTTTGGAGCAGATTCCTTGGGGCTTTAGAAAGAGAGCTAGGTCACATGGAGAAAGTAAGGTATAGCATACAGAAGAGACTGATACAGCTTTCCACTGAACATTTAACTTGAGATTATTTAAAACAGGGCATTTCTATTTATTAAAAGACCCATGTGAAAGATAATTTATTCCCTATGGATTACAGAATGTGTATTTGTATACCTAATATTAGTACTACTGGGAACTGCTCACAGTGAAAAAAGAAAGTAATAAATATTCAGTAAGCATCTCACTAATTATGATTCCATCAGTTTTCTAGCTTTGTATTTTCAGATGTCAGTGCTTACCTGAAAACTGACATCTATTTGGTTGCTAAGAGATATAGGATCAGTTTGCAGTTGTTGCTCTGTCTCTCAGAGACTTGCCTTCTTGGATTTTGCCTGAAGGTAGTGCAAGTTAACTCTGTTACCCATGTGGGGATTTACCTTATTTAAACTAGAAGATACTCCAAGGTCTCAGAAAAGAGATGAACAACTTTCAATCGGCACAATTTTGAACAAAATATCTGGCTTTCCCTGAGTTTAATGGTTTTTCCATTTCACAAAATTAAAATATAATTGCATTATTTTATAATCAAATTTAACTGATGAGTCTATGAAAGTCATTTAGAATTTTGACAAAAATCTTATAGGAAATGAAGTCAGTCAGTCAATTCGCATCCCTAAAGTGATGCTCAAGCCCAACATTTTAAGAGTATTGTCTGTCTATAACTTTGCATGATTCTTCAAACATATGGAAGGACAAAACTAAACTTGATCTATCTGGTTGTTCTGATACTATATCAGAGTCTGAAACAAAGTGCTGCTATAATTATACACATCCTAACTGGTCATTAGTGTATCCCAAATAATATTGATTTGCCGAATCAAAGAGAATATTCCTCCAAAGTCAGAGCAGTATTTCAATCAGCAAGTATGTTTCCCAATAACACTAAGCATCTAACATCTCTTCCCATGCACATTTCATAACCTTTCAAGGACAATCTTCCAAATCACTTTGGAAAGAAATAGACAAAAAAAAAAGGCATTCCATTGCAGAAGCACTTAAAATTGCTACATGTCCAACAGGTTCAATTTTTAATGCCTGTGTACTAATCACACAGCCATTGATCACTGACTGGTTTAATATCAATGCTTTACTGAAGAACATTGCAAAGGAACATGAGCTAAACATTACCTTGTCTACCAAGGGAGCTGAAAATGCCCACTTGCTCAGTCCTCTCCTTACTCAACTTCTTACACACTATCAGCCAACTGCTCTGTTGATGATTCCCAGCACCTTATGCGTTGCTTTAGCACTGAGTCAGGTTACTACCATTTCTGATCCAGAACTCATTAAGAAAATTCCTGTTACAAGCAAAGTCTTTGAAATGTAGGTGCACTGTAATTAAAAGGCTTCCTTTTGCTCATCTTGAGACAGGGACAAAAATGTATACCCTCTTCTAGGTTTTTACTTTTAGAACCACAGCATTATAAACAATACTGAGAGGAGGGAGGTAGGCAAAATGCAACACCTGGCCTCAGCAAACGTAATGACCTCAAACAACATTTAAGAGAGAGAGAGGAGAAACCTGATTCAGGAGAAGGAAAAAAACAAAAAGAGCCAGTCTGCATCATTGAAACAAGAGTAACTGAAAACCCTGCCAGGTTTTCCCAGTAAGTTTTGTGAAGCAGAAACAACCTAATCAATATGTGCAACCTCACCCTTAAGAAGCCTCTCGTTTCCAAACACAAACTGCTGGCTCCTTCTCCACTGGGTTTTTCCAGTAAGTTTTGTGCAGCAGCAACAACCTAATATGCACATCTTCACCTGATAAACCCTCTTGTCCCCAAAAAGAAACTGCTGGGTCCCTCTTCCTTGGGTCCTCAGGGACAGAAACCACCACTCCGAAGGGAGGAGAATTCAGAGGTGCAGGGAGGGACAAACGCAGATTTGTGTAGCTCTACATCTTCATCTTAATATCAGCTACAAACCTGTAAGTCATTGAAGAACCAGGCTCCTGACTTGCTCTAGCTCTGGTCCCTGCCAGAGGGGCGCGAAGAGGTTTAGGAGTCTACAGCGCAATGCTCCAAACAATGACTCCTCACCCCTTCAGCCAAGTCCCACCTTGCTAACCTCTTAGTGAGACCTCTCAGGAGTAGGATAAGAGATGCGTGGGTAGTCGCCCAAAGGCGACACGCTCTCAGGAGTTGCTGGGGGTGGGACTAGAGATGGTCACAGAGAGGGGCTTTTTAGGAAACATCAGGAAATGAGGCAACTGGGACCCCAGCATCCACCACCCCTTAAATGCTTTAAGGACTCCTTGTTCTGAGGCCGGGGGGCAGAGGGGCGGCAGCCTGTGATTGGGATTAGGGGCAAGTCCCTGGGCCACAAGGGCTTCTCTCAAGGACCGCGCAGGTGGGCGCAGCCTTGGAAGGTCAGCGAGGCCAGAGTTCAGAGTTACCCAGGGGGCCCGGAGAGTGGGAGCCCGTGAATGTGAGTAGGAACAAGCTTGCGCTCCGGGGAGCTCGACAAGACAGTAAGCGGGGGACAGGGGTACCCCAACACCCAAAGACAGGCAGCACACCCTCCCCTACCCACTAAGCGACAGGGCTAGAGGGGCGATCTGGGCTGCAGGGTTGAGAAACTTGATGCAAAACACACAGGCTCCCCAAGGCAGGACGCGCCCCCGCGCTCTCAGACACGCTCCAACGCCTCCCTGATCGCCCACCCTCGCCCACCCTCGCCCACCCCACCCTGCGAAATCCCCCACCGAGCCCCGGGATCCGAGGCGGGTAATTACCTCTCCCGGAGGCTGAGCGGGGGGCGGCAGCAGCAGCAGACACTTTTAGCCTGACTTTCCAGCGTTCGCGTGAGAGCGAGTGCGCGCCGAGAAGGAGCTGTAACCTGCTATTTATAGACCCGAGCTCAGCACCCGGGGCCGAGAACCCGGAGGAAACAAGCAGACGTCGCGGCGCAAGGCGCGGGCCGCCGCTGCCGAGACTCCCGCCGCTGCCCGGGGCTCGGGCCGCGCTCCGCGCTCGCTCCCCTGCCCGCCGCGCGCGCCCCAGAGAAGTTGTTACCAGCGCGGCTGCTTCTCGGGCTGCTCACACGCCCCCCGGCACAATTGCTACTTTCCCCCCTCCCCCACCTTCCTTGCCCCTTTTCCTCCTTCTCTGCTCTCTCCAAGCGGTCTCCTCCCAATGTCACTAGCGACAGAATAGAGGCGGTGGCAGCAGCTAGGATCTCGCAACTGGCGCAGCTTGCCTCCAGCTACAGATGGAGCGGAGTTGGTGGCCTGGCCGCGCACCTCGAAATGACCAAAACAGGCTGGTTGCGTGTGCTGACACCCCGCACCCAGCCCCTCTGCGCGGGGGGACAACCACCCAGCCTAGCGTGTGGGATCACTGCTGTGGTGATGAGGAGGGATGGGGGACGCCACGCTGAGTCCGGGGCAGGAGAAAACACAGAGAAAAAGATCAGCAGGAGGAGGCGCCCCAGACCCCGGCCGCTGACGGTCCCCAGGCCGTGAGGTGAAGGTAAAGCAGTGTCCCACGTTTGGGGGACTTCTGCCTGCAGCCGCCCTGGGACGCTTCTCTCCTGCCTCTCAGCCCTCTTGCCCCAGCTGGGGGTCTGGCGTGGGAGACTTGGGCACCGACTCGGTTTCCAGTCCAGAGCAACCCAAAGTCACCATCCGCGAGTCCCCCATGTTGCAGAGGGTGGCTAAGGCCGATTTGCTCCCAACAAGCTTGTGATACGACTTAGACAGCCTGAGTGCGTGGGGACAAGTCCTCCCTCGGCGTGTTTGGGGTGTTAGGAAGATGGGGTGTGTAATCACGCAGTCTGGAAGGAGACTAAAACTCCCCCACTTCCTCGCCAACAAGCCCACAGGCGAAAGCACGCAGCCTGCTGGTTCCAGGCTGTGGGGTGTGGGGCAAATGATTTCCCCATCTGCGCCTTACAGGTGCCACCTGGCGGTTCTCTTGGAAAGGCCCTGACTGAGCTGCTCAAAGGTAAAGGTGCCTAGAGCAGCCTATAAAGACACCCTCAGTTTTTCTCCTCTGGGCTCTTTAAATTCACATTTTAAATAAAATGGAGTTTCAGTGCTGTACACAAGTGTGACATTCGCCATTCGAAGGGCCTGGAATCCCTAAGTCAGGATGGTGAAATCAATTTGGGTTAAGTCAGTGCTTAACAGTTTCACAGCGTGGGAAGCTGTGTCTACCCCCAGCTGTCACCCCTGCTGTCACTGCCTGAATCTAGGCATCCATTCACTCCAAGAGCACTTGCCTGCCACTAGGTTACAAGCTTTGTCAATCAGGGCAGGAACTTTGGTTGTTTAGGTTTTTGGTTTTGGGGTGGTTTGTTTTGTTGCCACCGCTTTGCTTCTAGGGCTTGGGACAACGCCCAACATGCTGTAGTTTCCAGAAATAGTTATAGAATGGATTAATAAACAGGATGGGCCAGAAATGTTCTCGGCCCCTTCTCCCTCGGTCCCTGCAGCCCTTACCTTTCCTTCTCTCCAAACTACTTCTGCTCCGCTGTGCTCTGCTCTGGCACCATGGCGAATGGAGACAAGTGAGAGGTGAGGGATAAACTGTCAGACAGATCTTGGAAAACTGGGGGTTGGGTCAGGCAGCTAGAGTTTTCCTGTATGGGATAGGACTGAACACACCCACCTCCTGCACTGGCTAAGTCCTGTTCATAGAGGTCTGCTGAAAAGATGGTACAACTTTCCCGCTGTGTAACAGCTTTAGACCACTCTTAAAATACAGAAGAATTGAAAGAATATCAGAACATTAGGATGCCAAAGCTTTACCACTAACTTGAAAATGTCATTAATATATAAGTCCTCTAACCTTAAATGGAGATTGTGTTTATGAAGACTGCTTCACTAGTGCCATAGATACAAAAGCATTCCTCCTCAGAACAGAGGTAAAATAGGTACAGGTACTGACGGAAATGAACACTTAAAGGGACACACCCAGAAAGCCCCATTATAACAAAAATCCAGATATAGATCATGCTGACCAGGACTTTTTACAGGGACATTGAGGAATATGTGACATACCTGTGATGTTCATATAAGAACTTTAAAGGGGGGTGGGGGGAAAGAGAAAGTGAGAGAATAAAAAAAACCAGGACTTTATCAGATGTATATGCCACATGGCATTTTTAAACTCCATCCATCAGCCTGATATTTACCTTTTTTAGTTATTTAGTGGCATGTTCCTTGAATCATCCTGGAGGATTCAGATGCTTCTATGGTTGATTAAACTCATTCAGGCTTTACTTTTACCAACCTTGAACTTCTAGCCACTTGTGTCCCCAGAACGTAACTCCATTTGCCAGTGCAGGACAAAATATTTTTCATTTCCTTTTGAAATATCTCTGTATGGTCAGAAGTCAAAGGTGATTCCCAGTAGTTACTTTGCTGTCTGAAGCAATAAAATCAATCTAACATCTGCAGGACTCATGTCACACCTCCTTTGCAATGAGGTAGCTCACACTCTTTCTGTATACTCACTCTTCCTGGAGGTTTTTTTATATGATTTTACATTTATTGAATATCAACATTCTGCTCTCACACTACATATTTCTAAAGTCACATGTAAATATGTAGATTGATGTGACACAGTGGGTATCTATATCTTTATAATCCTCTACTATTCAAAATCTCCTAATATATAACACCATGTGTGACATCAGGTATTTTCTTAACTACAGTTGTTCATTTATATTAACAATATGTTGTAAAGCAAGTTCCTGTTTTCATCCCAGTTTGGGTTTTTTTTGTTTGTTGGTTGGTTGGTACCAGGGATTGAATTCAGGGGCACTCCACCACTGAGCCACATCCCCAGCCCTATTTTCTATTTTATTTAGAGACAGGGTCCCACCAAGTTGCTCAGCACCTTGCTTTTGCTGAAGCTGCCTTTGAACTCACGATCCTCCTGCCTCAGCCTCCCAAGCTCCTGGAATTACCAGTGTGCCTCACTGCGACCAGCTTCATCCCAGCTTTTAAAAAATTAAAAGCAAGAGTTGAACTTTCTTATTTGTTATTTAGATAATCTGTGTGTATATGTATGGAAGTTAAGGGGAGTTGCTATGAGAAATTTTAAAAATCGACTAACTTATGTAAAAGGATTAAATTATTATAAAGGTCTTGACTGTCTCATGGAACCCAAGAGCAGGAATGAAGCCAGGCGTTGACAACCAGAAACAGAGACATGCAGCTGGGACTTCCCCCATTGCTCTATCTGCTCTTTTCCTGCCTTTCCTCCCTCCTTCCTTCTCTTTACCCACATAAACTCATAACTTTCTCTGTTTTTCTGATGCTCATTAAGTTGCATGGTTACTAACAACCCTTGAACTTCATAACTCACAGGCCAGCTCCAAATTCTCACAGAAGTACCATGATGACACAGCTACCAACCCCAAGACCAGACAACCAAGCCAGAGATGGCAGTCAAGTTACATTCTCATAGCAGTGACTATAGCAACCAGGTGGGTGGTAGTGATGGGCCAAAGTAGGAGGAAAGGATGAAAATGCCCCAAATGAAAAGAGGATGTGAGTTGCTCTTCTGTTATCTCCCACTCCTGTTGTTCATGAACAGTGGCACAAAAGGCAGAAAGAAATAGGAAAGAAGAAAGAGGAGTCCGTGTCTCTGGTATGGGAATGACATGCATGTCTGAGTACTGAACGGGACAGAATGCCCCTTCCTGCTGGTGGCACTCTAAGGTCACTTGTCCCAGAAGTATGCCATGGTTTGGATATGAGGTGTCTCCCAAAGCAGGAATGTGCAGAAGTGAAATGGTTGGATGAGGAGAGTCTGTAACCTCCTCTGCAAATTAATCAATTTGATGGATTAATGATTTGAAAGGACCATTGTTCTGGGTGGTGATTGCAGGGTGGAGTGTGACTGGAGGAAGTAGATCATTGGGGGCACGCCTTGGGTGTTACATTTCACCCCTGTGGCTTCAGTTGTGCTCTCTCTGCTTCCTGGCTGCCAAGTAGAGCAATTTTTCTCTGCCACACCCTTCCGCCATGATGATCTGACTCATCTCCAGCCCAGAGCAATGGAGCTAGTCCACCCTGGACTGAACCTCTGAAGCCATAAGCCCAGAACCAACTTGTCCTCCTCGAAGTTGATATGGTCAGGTATTTTATTTACTGTGACAAATAGCTGACTACCACAAAGTAGCAGTATGTTTTTATAACCTCTTGACGTGGGATTCAATAACCATGAAGGAATTAAATTTTTCAGTTTACTGTAGCTTTATTTTTTTCACGGCAAATTAGAGGCTTTTTTTTTTTAAATGAAGCAAATGAGTGTGATATGATTTTACATTTATTGAATATCAACATTCTGCTCTCACACTACATATTTCTAAAGTCATATGTAAAATGTTTGAACTTTTAGGAGGGGACACAATTGGGCCCATAACAGATGTCCCATTTTCAACTAAGCACTTTTTTAATTATCTAATTATGTCACAAGTGGCATAAAATTGAGGACACATTTCAGGAAATGTTTGCAATAATCAGGGAGATTGTTTGGAACAACTGGTCCTTTCTAGAAGTAAATAGACTATTTCTGAACATTTTATTACATTTTGTTAATTCATATCCCTTACTGCGCACTTAAACATATAAACAGATCCTGCTTTCCTTATTTTTAGCAATTTCTTTACATCTAATCATCTTGTCAAATTATCACCTTGATGTCTCTTCCTGGAATAATCCATCTCTTCCATCTTCAGGTAACCTTATTTCTGCTGGAATAGCCCAGTTTGATCACCAGAGCAAGTCAGAACAGTTGTGCAGACCTTACCTCTTAATTGAATCCAGACCTTGAAGATTCCTCTCCATCAGGACTTCATTTGTTCATCAGAGCAGTAATTATGCTTCATAATCAGACAACTTGTGTTGTTCCTATT